CGTAGGGGGAGGGTGAGGACAAAAGAGATGGGTGAGGGGGGAGTCGAGAGGGATACCGAGAGAGAGAGAGCGCGAGAGGAGGGATGGGTCGACCGATTCAGCCGTGTCATTCACCGCTGAGAAAGTGTTTAAAAACCTCTTGCTCTGACAGTGTGTTAATGACACACAGAGACACACACACACACACACAGACACACAGAAAGGTTGTTGTGGACCAGCAGCTTGCTCTCTGGATGTGCTTCTCTTTCACTCCACAGCCAATAAACACGGTGTTGGACATTAAATAAAACAAGAGGCTCTTTTATAGCCTGGGTCACGCTGGGTAGGATTTATCAGACCATGTTGTGTCTGCATGTGTCTCAGTGCATGTGTGTGTTTGTGTGAGTGTGAGTGCTTAGCAGGGATACATCTTTACTAGCCGACACAATAAGCATGTTTAATGGTGCACTTTTTAGTTCACCGCAGCACGTTTTAACAGACTTGCAGCTTCAGCAGCATTTAACGCACGCCCACCTCACCTCTCTGTTACGGATCCTTTCACACAGCATGGGTGGAGTATCTAGGTTATTCCAAACAGCAGCTGTAACATGACACAGTTTATCTGGGCGAGTTGTAAACCTGAGACAAGAGGCTGATTTAACGACCTGAAAGGAGGAGGAAATGAGCAGAAGTGGGACTGAGCAGATTAGAAAGAGACAATTGATTAGTGTTTGTGTCAATGCACACCCTCCAAACAAAACAAAACGCGACATGTACCACGAAGAGACGAGATCGAGATCATCTTTTAATGTCCGCAGTTGTGACAAAAGGAAGAGCTCTCACTGAACTTCCCCCAGGACGACATTCATGTGACTTTCTGTTTTGTATCTTTGTACCTCGCAGCCATTAAAAATGATTTGCAGGCCTGGCTTTGACTTCATGTAAACGAACGCTCTTATCAATCTAATTGATTTAACATCTTCAGTTAGCCCTGACTCACGCTTCTCTCATCTGTCCTTGGAGAAGCAATCCACATATGCAAGGGTTTGGCTGTTGTCAGATATTTGGCCAAAATTAACTGCTCAAAAAGGCACAATACAAAATTTCCACATGGCAATAATTATTATTAACCATTATTCAAGCTATTTTCAGCATCATTTACTTATTTCTAGCAGAATATATCAATCTCGTAAATTTATATTGATAGGATGGTTAGAACATTTCTCATACAATTAGAAAGTAGTATTTCTTAAAAGACAAATCCAACAACTGAGCAGAGCTGATAAACTGTATATCATCACTGTCTCCTGGTGCCATCTCTCTTGGACGCCAGGGACAGTTCATAGCAGCTGAATTGATTCACTATGAGGAACCCACGCTGCTTTACAGTCTTCCGGTAGCTACACCATGCATCCATCTGTAAAGGGGATTTCAGCCCTTTTCTTTTTTCTTTTTGTAATGCCAGTAAAATCCGCCATGCTCCCACTTATCTTATGAGTGGAATAGTATCATTGTGGCCCAGAATTAGCAGATTCCCAGCCCCGAGGGCCGTTGCCCCACTTCAGCTGTGAGGTCATCTGTCGGTCAGCGATGACTGCCTGACTATGATGAACGCCAGAACAGAAAATCCTGTATTTAGAAATAAACTTGCTTCTGGTGTTTCATGTTCAAACAGCCATGGAAAATATATTATTGCAACTGAATAAAAAACATTTCTATTTCTGATTCACCACACAATCGTCTGTTCCTGCTTTAAAAGCCAACCTTAGAAAAACAACAAGAGTCAACAATTATTGTAACATGTATGACAATATAATGATATAGACTATGAACACTTTCCCAAAAAACCTTGAAAAGACCTTGAAAAGCAAAATAAGAATAAAAAAAAGAAATCCAGAAAGAAAGCACTTCAGGGGTTTTTGGACAAAAACTGTAAGAACAGCAGGCGCTGGTTCTCGTCCAAGTCCCAGTTTCTCCATGGTGCGAGGCATTCTTCATCATTACCATGGCTATTCAGTGGAGCTAATTCCCTTTAAAATCAACTGTCAATTCTCATTTGGCTGCCCTCAACATCTTATAGGCTTTGAATTCTCCCATGAACTGGATCTAGGGCGAGTTATCTTGAAAACAAGAGCCAAACAGTCTCCGTTATTTGGAATCTATTTGGTGTTCGTGTGTTTTCCAACAAGCATTTCTGAGCACTAAAAGAGACTTAATTGTGAATCCATGACCAATCAAAGTGAACACCGTCTCAACCAGGAGTCTTTTCGCTGCAACCCACACAATGAGATGAGGTGTAAAAAGTTCACCGGGACCAAAAACAACGTGGTGCCGAGTTAATAAGTCTCAGCAGAGCGAAAGTGATCGTACCAACACGCATCTATCTGATCTGCACATCAAAATTCAACTTTTCCTGAAGGTCTCTATCACAAACTACAGAGCGGAGATCTTAAACAGACATGGCAGAGTGAGTAAACCCAGCAGATGAGACAGAATATTTCAGCAATGACAAGAAAGGACACAGCGGGAGTATGTTTGCATCTTTTCCAAGTACAGCTGTGGTGCGGAGCAATTTTCATGTGATGCTGCACACTCCCTCAGCCGGGCAGGGCACGCTCGGAGGTTACATAACCCTGGATTTTCATGCCACGCAGCTCCTCCCATCCTCCATCTCTCTCAATGTGTACTCAACACAGCACTGCAAAGTGGACAAGGCACAGATGGTCAGCGGGGCTCCGCACATCAACATCAGCGCTGTGCTAGGCAGGGGCGGGGCGTGGTCAAAGGGTAAAAGTGATAGAGGAGCTTGGATGATTGGATAAACTGAGGATATATATATATGGATGGATGGATACACACACTCACAGTTGGGCAGATAATGCAGCCAACGGAGCATCCGATCTAGTTTTGGAGCAGTCTGGCCAGTAATTGCTCGATAGATTCTGCTACCAGAAAGATCAGCCTACATAAAAGATGGGATTAACTTAACGAGGTGATGCATCTGCTCCATGATTGTGTTTGAATTCCCAACTCGACATTTCAAAGAGGATAACACGGCTACCGCAGTCAGATGTTGTGGCTGGTAATCTATAGATTATCTGAGAGGTTGAAACAATAAAACATGGACTAAATCCTGATATACGAGCATTAATCCAACAGACAAACCAAACTGAATCAAAGTTTGCCATCTTCACTCTAAAAGCCTGTCGTGTAAAATGGGTTTCATTCAGTGTCTGTGATCAGAATGGATACAATCGGCATTAACTCCCATGTCAAACAGGTTTTCTATCAGCTCCGGCTACGATCAGCAGTAATGGACACATGACACCTGGGTGAATCCGACATTTTGAAGTTCATGATTCTACCTCTTCTCCTGAACCTCTCTTTTACATCTTGGAAACAACGTGCAAGAGCAATTTTTTTCTTCAAGATGTATCACTGGCCAGGTGAGAGAGCTACTCAGTTACTGGCAAGTTCATGACATCAATTATGACTCACCAGGGGAAAAAATGCAAACTCCTCTACGGCAATGGGAAAGGAGCCATTGCCTTTTTTAACAGGTTTACCCAAATTTTAAAAAACAACATAGACAAAGAGCTATGTAAGTTGAGGTAAATGGATCTGACATGTGGCCCAAATTTCTTTGAGGACAGCTAGTTGAATAATGCACTGTTCTCGTGGCCTTCAGGGAGAAATATTAAAACTTAATTTTCTGCCTAATGTTTTGGTAATACACCCCGACTGCCTGGAGCTAGCGGAAAAAATTTAAGTCGGCTTGCATTTTGATATAACCCACTCTCGGCACACACCCAGTATCTGTGGTAATAGCTCTCTATGCTACTGATTTTCACTGGTCAAAAAACCCACTAACACCTGCTGACATCAGGCTCTTGTCTGCAGTGGGAATGGATGCAGTCTGCACTCGCTCCTGGGTCAAATGACTACACAGTCACCACAGGTTTTTATCTGCTCAGGCTCCGATCTGCAGTGATGGAAATGAGACCATCAGGTGATCTTGGGTGAAAGAGTGCCTCATGATTTACAGGAGGGGGGGGGGGCAGAAAGGCAATTTTCTCTATTAGCAATGGAAAATGGCTCAATCGTTTTTTTAGTAGGTTTAGCAGCGTTTGAAAAACCCTGTATTTACCTGCTAATTTTGGTGTAAGAGAGGTACACCAGGCAGGCAATGCTGCAGACACTCAGATGTTTAATCAACAACACGCTTTATATGATCCAAAGATAAGATTATGACTTATTGGAGTAAGATTTTTGCAGGTGCAGGCAGAGTGGATTTATTTCCCAAGTGTGTTCTTCATCCACAGGTTTAACACAATTCCATCAGTTTGAGCAGAAGCAGGCTAAAAATCAATATACAGCCGATATTTGTACTGTATCAGATATCTGTCAGTCATATTGAATTCAACATTCAGAATTTTTGCTTTGAAAATTACTGAAACTATGTATGGATGATCAAAACAGCAGCCAATTAATTTTCTGTCAATTAACAAATCGACTGATCGATCAAAGTGTCCCAGGTCTTGAAAAATATTGTACAAAAGGCGAGTAACAGCAAGAACAATATACAATATTTCACATAAAAATCCAATTGGTAAACAAAATTAGTTGTGATTGAAACAATTACTTTGGCCATTTAATCATCCTAATCATCCTATTATCTATTGATGGAAGCAATTTACAAAATAGATATAGGCTGGAACAAGGAATGATTACAAATATTTGACTGATGTATTCATTTTCTTGCTATTTTCCGACATTTTAGATAAGGGCGTGACATGATGTGTCTTGAACTCGTGTGGTGGATAACAAAGCCGCACCTAAAACAATTTCCTCCGCCCGTCCCCAGATCATGTTTGAAAGGGTTTTCCCACACTAACAGGAGACAAAATATTTTTTTGTTCCTAATGTTAATATTCAGATATGATCATCAGCACAACATATCAGTGGATAAACATATCACCCCTCAGAATCTAAGTGAAGCCTGATTAAAGCTTTTACTGTACCTCCATGGCGAGCGCGGCGGTTTGCTGGTCGTAATGGTTCAGTATGTTGGGCATGAAGGTGGAGTTGTAGGACAGCCCCTGACACATCCGCAGGGTGATGGGCTCACAGGTGAACAGACTGTGGCTCCCTGCCGCCCCGTCCATGGGGATGGCGACGCACACCGTCAGCATGGACACTGACAGCACCCACAGGAGATCCATGACTGGTCCGTTACAGGAGGGGAAAAGAAAGGACCCAGGTGACGGCTGGTTAGGACAAGGGGTTGAGCGCTGCTAGCATCTGGTTCATTCACGGGGAAGGTGGAATTGCGAGGCTAAAGGCCCGTCTGGTAGTCTCTTCCTCCTCCTCAGGTTCACAGGGAAACAGCCTGGGTTGGGCAGCACCATCCAACGCGGCGGCCATGGTTGAAGCTGGCTGCATCCATCACTGTGTGTCAGAGGACCTCCATCACCTGAGAGACGCTGTGGTCCTTTAAGATGCTGAGCGAATGGCTCACACACTCCTCCCTCTGAGGTGACGTCTCTTAGAGATATCAATGACAAAGATGATGAACAGTCTCCAATCTGAAAAATAAAACCAGCAGACATGTAAATTCATATGTTGTGCATATTTGTTCACATCCTCAGCAGGTTATATCTGGAGTGAACTTATTTTTCTAACGCCAGAAATGAGCTTGTTTTTACAGAAAATGTGACTAAATTCAGAAGACATGGGAAAAACACACAGGAGGCATTTTTTAAGAGGGATGGTAATTGTTTTGTAGGTCACTGTGGTGGTGGATGAATGATAACATTAGCTGAGCTAATTAACAGCAATACATCATGGACCGATAAAGAAAAGTCAAATCATTATTCAATTAAATCTATAGCTTCTGTGCTGGTTTGTTTAAGTGGATTATTATATGTAAGCATGTTATTATTTTCTTGTATTGGTGTAGTAATTTAGAGATGAATCACAGTTAATAAACTGCTTTTTGCTCTTTTTCACAACAGCCACATTAACATGAACAAGCCAGTTCACACCCACAACAAGCCAACACCTTCTCATTCACTGACCACAGAACATCAACACAGGATCGTGTCTGACTCACAATCCTTCACACTCACGTTACTAAACACGCGCAGTTTTATTCCCCTTGTTGTTTAAACGCGACATTAGTGTGATCTTCACCTCCTTCTACCTGAGTCACTGCTCCCGGGCTGCTCCTGCAGGAGCTCCTGGAGCTCCTGGGTTTACAGCTGCTCCTGAATGAGAATCGAACGAACGCAAGCGGAGGAGTCGTCGCGGTTTGTCTCCGGAACAGGAAGAAGAAGCGGTGGTTGAATTAAACCGATTTAAACGTGAAGCAGCGCAGACAAAAGATGACTTCATCCAAACTGATGGAGCATGTGTAGCGTGGAGGAGCTCAGCGAGCAGCCGAGCCCGGTGAGGCGCACACCGGCTACAAATGTTAGCTAAGCCGGGAAATTAGCAGCAACTTTACCTGACTGCTGTGCCGGGAATTCACGTGGAGCTCCGGGATCTCTGCAGCTCCTCAGCCCGCTAACAATGAGTGAGTGCTCCGTTCGGCCAGCACCTCCCTCCCCCTCCTCCTCCCTCCTCC